AATGCCTTATTTAAGACTAAACTGCAGTCAATGATAATACAAAAGGTACCACGAAGAAATGAAATTAAATGTTCTCTCCATTATCCTCAGTATGTTTCACTTTATCAGAACCTAATACAGTTTTTATATTCCACTTACCCATGATGATACAAGGCACATGTAGGTAGTAGCTTACCATGTCAGAAGTGCAATCATTCATTCCCTACCTCTGAACTACCAGGATGACCCGTTAAATATACCTAGAGGTAGCATGCTGGCTTGTGGATTAGAAATCAGACTCAAATTGTACATTAAAAAAACTCAGCGGGGACTCATTAATACAGCAGTTATAGGTTGTCCCTCATTTTATATGTTTTCATATTCGGTGATTTAGTAGCAACTTATGACATGTTTACTTCCAGGAGTGGCTGCTCTCAAATATACCATCCATCCATGCCCCCTTTGCATGTGCCAGGCCTGGAAATGAGGCGATGAAACCACTTTTGGAGCATTTCCAACCACTGTTTACATGACCTCTACCCCTGGCAGGACTGACAGCAGCAGCAGGAAAAGTGCCCTCAGGACAGCTTCACTGCTTCATTTCTGAGCCTTGCATATGCCAACTGGGAGTGGGTGGATGGTACCATGGGGCAGTAGTATAGTCATATTGTCCAGTTTTTCAAAGGTTCTATACAGAACATCTGGTTTTCACAGGAAAGAGATGAACCAGCTCAATTCGCTGTTGGGCTACTTAAAGAATTGTATTATTTGGTACTAAATTGTTTTCTACCCTGGACCTTATTAAACATATCCCAAAAATTTGAGATGGAAAGGAAAGGAAAAGAAAAGGGATTTTAATGTAAGAGCTGGGATTGTCTGCACTGGTCAAAACTGTTTTGTTCAAAACTATTTTCCAAATCAAAGAGCCCTTTTCCCCCATTGAGTCTTTAAAAAAAAATAAAATTTATCACTTTATTAGATCTCAACATTCAAAAATTATTTTTTTTAAATATCATCATTTCCCTATAGACCTACTGCTCTTCCCCCACCCTCCAAAGTGCATCAAAATGAACTGTATCTTCATAATGAAAGTGGATCATTTTTTCCTTCTACCAGTTTAATTTTCCAAAATGTTGCCTTTTTTAAAGTTAGGACAGTAGAAAGAAAAATGGGGTGAAAAAAATCTGTGAAGAAACTATCAGTAGAAAAAGAGGAAAAAAGAAATTAGAGAAAAAGCAGAGAAGATAAAAGCTAAAATTTAAAATACTGATATTTAAAATCTTAATATTTCTAAAAAAAAATTACCACAGCTTTTGAAGATATTTCTAATCAGAATGTTCCAAAATGAAATAAACCACTTTTTTTTTTTTTTTTTTAAGGTTACGTGCAATTATTTTTTTCATTTTTCACCAGGGCCAATGCTTCAGTTAGATCATAAATTATTCACGCATGACATATTTCCTTGTGAGAAATATCATATGACATGGGGCATAAATGGTTTGAAAACTCCAGGCACTGGAATTACTCTTGCCTATCAAGATGAGCTGCCACAAGAATGTGAAAATTCCAGCTGCATCAACAATTCTGGCCGGGCTCAACAACTTCAGTAGGATGATCCATTGTTCCAAAATAGCAGCTTACCCTTTTTTCTCATTTTCAGGTCCCACAGTGTTCCTCCCCATTTCTATCATTGCTCATGGTTTCCTCTGATGTTCCAGAATGCACACAATCAATGCCACAGCTATTTTAGGATTGTGCTGGATCACAAAGTTAGCCAGAGACATTAAGAGCATCCAAATATGTGCTCCTGGAGTGGGGGGGCACTTTAAAGCAACTCCGAGAACCACCCTAACTAAAGCACCTTATGTATAAGCATCCCCATGCTTAAAAATAGCATTGAACAAGCTTTGGATAAAGCACCCCCATCACTATTTTTAAGTACAGGGATGCTGATACACAAGATGCTGAAGTCAGCTGGAGCGTGGTAATTACCACACTCTAGCAGACTCGATTAATTGAGTCTGCTCATGTATAGGTGCCCTAAGGGAGGACCAACTCCTTTGGGGCAGCTGTCTTTTTAGCTATTAAATAATTAGTTTCTCTATTTTAAATATTGTAAACATCACATTTTAATGCTCTCAGCATCTCTGCTATTACAAACATAGTACATGCTGGAAAGCCACAGTGAAACAAGAAACAGTGATCTAAGATGGGCTGGTTCTCTAGAGAAAATAAAAAGGTAGCATTGTGCTGAACATGCTCTTGTTCAAGTTAAGGTAGAAGGGAGTATTCAACACATGTTCCTAAAACAGATGCACTATGCACAATTCCACCTGAAATTCATTATTTAGTGTGTGAACTTGCATTTTGTATATCTGAATGAAGAACATTAGAACCAGTAATAAAGTCTCACCAAAAAAAAAATCTTATTTTCATTTGCAAGGAGGAAAAAGTCAAGCTCAGGATTTTTTTTCTGATCAAAAAACTGCAAATACCAGTTTGTTGCAAAGCCAGGAGTACAGCATGGCACTAACCCAGCCCAGTCATGTGCCAGGGACTCGGGGCATGGGAGGGGGTGCAGGAAGAAGGGGGCCAGGAGCTGCGGGTTATCTGGGTTACAGCTGGGCCAGTGCCACACTTTGTTCCCCTCTTCTCCGAGCACCCCCCCATCCCCAAGTCCCTGACATGTGGCCAGGCCAAGCTGAGCAGGGTCCGTGTCGTACTGTGTTCCCATACGTCGCTGTGTGTCATGTGAGCGCAGCTGGCACTGCTCCTGCCCAACCTAGCCATGTGCTCAGAGTTGGGCAAGAGACACGCCAGGGTCAGGCAGGAGCCAAGCCAGCTGCACCTATGTGGTGCAGCCCAAAGCGGCACACAGGGCCACAGTGCAGCACCACCTCAGCAGTGCCTGTGCCCCTACCACCAGGCCCTGGCCTGGCCCAGCAGAGCCTGGATAACTCATGTCTCTTGGCCTTTCTCCCCCTGCTCCCTGTCCCCCACACAGGGGAGAATCTTACCTGAGCTTCAACTCACCAGGGTGTCTAGTTTGCAAACAGTCGCAGGGCCAGAGCTGCACACAGCCAGCAGCAGAAGCCTAGCCAGGAGCTCAGGGACCCCTGCCTTGGAGTGTACACTGAGGGTTAGAGGGCAAGACAAGGCAGGCTGGGGAGAGGAGTGGCTGCTGCTCCTGCAGCCAGCTGGCACAGGGAAGGGAGAAGGGCAAGAGGCACCAAAAGCCAGGGCAGACAAAGCCAGATACAATTCTCCATCAGAGAAGCAGCTGCACTGGACAGAATCATTTGACAGGCTGGATTTTGCCCACCCCTGGCATAGGACTATATTCATCAATGGTATAAACAGGCTCAATCCCATGGAAATAAAATATTGAGATTTCTCATGCACAAAACCTAGGAAATTTGACTTGGTTTTGTTGTTTAGGAATGTAAGGTTACAATCCTGCATTAGTTCAGATGTCAAGGTGCTTCTGGATGAAGAGGTCTGCACAAGGGTTAGACACCAGAGAATCATGTTAATTACATAAAAAATGCAAAATATTGCAGACCTAATTCTCATATAGTGTAAACTTGTCTACCTCCCCCTGAGGTCAGTGGTCTGCATTAAGATTCAAGTTAAAATTTACCATTGTAAAAAGGATCTGACCCCTGTATGTATATATAGATTACTGTAACTAGTCACACAGTGCTTTGCAGTTGAATGCTGAAAAATTATCTTAAATCTTGGAAGTCAATCAAATGTCTATACTTACTGTGAAATGATTAAAACAACCAAATTCAAATAGGTGTTTTCTTTTTACTAAAAATACATGGCTTGTTACGTTGATGTATTCTGTTCTTTTCCAGTTATGAAAAAGTTGAGTTGTTTCTAAACCTCCCCATTCTTATCATAGTCTCCAGAACATGAAATAAAAAAATCACAAAAAAAAAAATTGTAAGGAAGATTCCAAAAATTCACTTACCCTGGAAACAGACTTACCAAATACCATATAACATGTTCCAACCATGATGTCAGCTGTTTCTGTTATTTTGGACTGGAATGTTGCATTGGCAAATGAGGAACCCATCTGAAAAACAATGAATTTGGAATTTAGCACCTGAGAAGCTATCAGTTAACCTTCTGGGAAACAAGCACTTCATGGTTTTCCAGGGCTTTGGTTTTATTTTTCCAGTACCTGCAATGACTAACCTAAAGATGAAAAATCTGGAACAGAGTTGTCTCTTTTAATCTTATGGGTGTCCCTTTGGTTTAACGAACATGGAAACATCAATATTTTCCCAAAGCATCTAGAGATTCTGGATACCTCTGTTTTTGGATGCTTTGATTAGCAAACATTTAAATGGAATAAATTAACTGCAGGAGAGCAACACTTGGCACTTTCCAAAAAATAAAGACATAAAGGTAGAAGGAACAAAGAAAAAATCTTAAGCCCCAAAAACCAAATTGAAGTTGGTTAAAATAAAAAGCTACAGGAGAAATGTAAAACTGGTGTAATTTACTTCTCTAAATTATTCACTTTACATGACTTATTCAGCCTCATACATACCGGAGTTAGGAGGTAATTTCTGGACTTTCTCCAAGCCTGACACACAAAAATAAATGGCTAGAGAAGACCAGACTATTTGGACAAAAGAGGTGAAGTTATTTGCATCTCCAAAAGAGCATGAAGGAGATGCTTTTCTGTCAGCTTCACACCAGTTACATTGCAGGGTGTATGTGCCTGGAGTTATAGGCCATGTGTAGACGAAACGAGAGGTGTGCGTGCATGACACTTTAAAGCAGGCTAGATGCTTTTGCACTGCTTTAATGGTGTCAGTGTTTGCATGCCTCGGTGGCATATTGAGCCTTAATTCCAGCCACTGTAGGAAATTCAGTGGCGTAATAAGCCTTAAATGACTTGGGGCGCAGCAAACTTAAACACCTTCAAGGAGTTTTAGTTTGCTGCCCCTAAAGCCACGGAACAAAGTACTAGGCTCTGTACAGCTCCACGGCTCTGCAGGAAGCCCTGCAGGCAGCCTGGCAGCAGCCTAGGAAAGCAGGCTCCACCCAGGAAAAGCAGTGAGCCCGATTCCCCGCCCCCTGCTTTAGAGCCTGCCTGTCTGTCTGAGCTGTGCGAGGGCCCAATGCTTTCTTCCATGGCTACAGTGCCCCAGGACTGCCCGAGCTGGATGCCTGTGGGCGGGTGCTGCCAGGGAGGGGTGGGGGGGCACCACTGCTGCAGAGGGAAGCACCAGCTCCGCCTCCCCCCCCCGGGCAGCTTGCCCTCCTCTCCCCACTGGAGAGGCAGGTAAGTCAGCTTGGTGTGTGCAGGACACAGGGGTTTAATCAGCCCTAAATTGAAGCGGTGGTTTTGAAAACACCACTTCAACTTAGGGCCCCCGTTTAGTCAATTCTGCAGTGTATGGGTGTGTGTAGACGAATCTGGGCTCTTCCTTAGCTGCTACCCCATCCCATGCACACACAAGTCTCTCACCTGATTTAAAGGATGTTTCAATCTAACCTATTTGGCATGCCTGGTGGTATGGGCCAAAGCTTGAATATCATCTACTCTGGGGCTGGTAAACCTCTCACATCAAAGTCTTTCCACAATTCCTGTGTTTATCCAGGACAGACATGTTCTCCTACAACTAACTGCAGCAAAAAGAACCATGGGAAGTCTTAGTGATGCACAGATAAGAGCCTATACTGATGCTGTAGTCAAACTCTGGTATAGCTTAATTTAGCCTAGCTGTGAAGAAGGACACTGCAAACTTGAGTATTCAAACCTAGGCACTAATTACTCAAGTATAGTAAAGATATGACACAAGTAGTCATATAGCCTTTAAACAGATACATTACAAGGTCTGAAAGACATTGTTCCCTATTTATTGTCAAGGAGGCTATGGCAATAAGGATTTGCAAGTGATAGTAAGGTTTTGGTGGAACACTTCTCAGTAGAAGAGACATATGGTAATTCCTATACAAATGATCTGACAAGAGTTCAGAAATATTCATTAAACATAAGCATGAGTCACTGCCTTGGGTAACGGTAGATATAACTGTTATTGACAACCATTTCCTGGGCTCAGGATTCTCTTATTATAATGAAAAAGTACCTCTCTCCTCCACTTGGTGGCTGATGTGTGGCTAAGAATTTTATTGACAGTATCATCTCATTCCATACCCCAGCAGCTGAAAATGAGGCAATACATGTACATTTTGTTTTAATGCAGAATATCAAATGTCAGAGCAAAACAAGAAAAGTTGCCTGAATGACTGACCAACAGTCTAATGGGTTTTATACTTTATCATAACTCCAGAGTGTTTACCACTATGTGTCCACATTGCACAATATCACTGCAACAATGTTTTATTCCTGAACTGCTGGAGGGAGAAGTAATCAGAATTTACCTTATCAGTCTTCATTGCAACTTCTCTTAACTGTCTCTTCCCAAAAATTCCCTTTATTCTCAATATACCATCCATTTTAAGCACATACTGCTAGAATCTCAGTGGATGTCAATCGGCATCACTCCACTGAAATCACTGGAGTACCATTATTTGAACCAGTGGAGGATCTGTTCTATTACTTTCAACTGCAGTTATGCCTCTTGTTTATTGCCTTGGATTCTGCCGAAAACATTTACTCTGCCAGAAACACTCACTGGAACAAAATTTTAAGCTGATATTGCACAAATATTCATAGTATTAGAAAATTTAAAGCATTTTACTATTATAAATTATTGCTTATTAAGTATCAGCAACAAGTATTCACATTAGAAACTTAAGGCTTTCCTAGCATCCACTGCTACAGCATGTGACTGCCCCCAAGAGACTATAACCCAAAAGATCAGACCAGTGGTTTCATTTTCCTCTTTGTTTCCCATGAGACAGCCTACTTGCAGATAATTCACAGATAGAAGAAAAAGTTTCTTCCGACAAAAGTGTCCATCACTCTTAAGTAGCATGCTTCTGTCAGTAATTCTCAACCAGGGTTCCACACAATTCACAAAATAAACCCAGAGATTTCAAAAAGGAGCCCATGATGTCAAAAACATTTTGACCTGTTGTGGTCTTTCTCAGTTCTTTGCAACAAAAGCATTGATCTCTCTCTTTTCTGTCATCAAAAATAAGTGGAAGCTAAGGGCTGGCATTTTCCAAGAGGTGTCTTGAGTCTAAAAAGATTGAGAACCATTTAACTTAATGTTCAAAGTCTATCCTGACATGAGAGCTTGCCAGTAAATACTTTTTAAAAGACCAGCAATCAACACTAGAAAATGCAGCCCTGGAACAAATCTGGACTCCCTGTAATCTGTCTAGTTTCCTAGTTTTTCCACAGCTATCTCTGACCTTTCTGCAGAGCTAGACAGCATTCAGTCCACACTATGATTTGGACCTGTAACCAGAAGAGTAAGCTTTTCATCCAAATCCCAAACATGATACTGTTGAAATCCCAAAACGAATGGATGGAAAAAAGACTAGGTAATCTTGAAATCCCTACCACTGAATCCCACTATAAAACCCCATGACAAGCATCAAGTGTATCTGATAAGGATTCTCTGCATGAAACAATGACAGAAGAAGCAGGAACCACATGAGGACTTTTGCAGTTAAAGAAGCAAATAAATATATGCAAGTCATTTAAGTAATTTGCTTTCCACAAATCATTCTGTAGGTTTTTATTAAAAAGAATACCAATGGAAGGAGCATAAAACATCAGCTGTTCATGGATTAAAATTGAAATGTGAACTGGGCTGAACACGCACCTCTTCCTTAGATTCCATTCAACTGAACCAAACCCTACTATAAACCAAATAGAAAAGAATAATTCACAGAGCTTATGGTGAGTGAGTACAACTCTACTCCACATTAATTAGAAAATCACTTCCATTAAAAAACACACACACACACACACACACACACACACACACAACACACACACAAACACAATAACAGCCTTCCTTAGTCTAGAGAGTTGTCACTTCAAATATCTACTTTTGTGATTTTTCCTGAACATTGTAAATATTTAGGCGATCCCCTCCTTTTTTTTCCCTGGCACTGTTTCCAACAAAAAAATATCTGGAAGTGGATCTAGATTGTGGGGTTTTGAAGAGGGGGTCGCAGCACAGAGGTCACTAGCACCAGAGGTTTTGGCAGCAGAGACCAATGGTCAAGACCAGAAGTCTCAGCAATGGAAAGCTCACTGTGCATGAGCTACACAGTCAAAGGGCAAAACAACCACACCACCACATCCTCCCTGGGTCCACTCCTGAGAATATCTGTTATCAGTTGCAGCTAAAAATCCTGGAGCTACCAAATCTGCAGAAAAATCACTGTCTGAGCCACTGTGTATATCAAATTGCAGTTCTGCAGACATTCACAGAAAGTTTATAGATTAAACAGTAGTGAGATATTTCCAGGACTTGCCAACTGCTCTGTGACTGGGCTACATCATAAAGGCTTTGAAAAACAAAATCACAGAATAAACAACTAAACAAATAAGCATTCAAAGGTTGATATATACTCTTCTAGGAAGGATATAAAAGGACATCTTTCAAAAGACAGACTGAGGAAAATATAATAGCATACTTTTAAAATTGCCTAGCATTTTACAAATGGCTCTTACAGTACAGACTTAGATCTTAAACTGATGCTCTGGAAAAATTGTAACAAGCAGCTCCCTCAACAATATTCTGATGAAGCCAGAAATCTACATGATGACATTTTCTGAATCAAAGACTTTCATCCCACCAAGAAATCAGGCTTGTCTACCCATAGGAAGTTTGCCAGTGTATTTGGAAGTATGAGATTAAACTGAGTTTACATAATTTCATGCGAGGACATTTATAAATCAGGTGTAATCCCCCCACAAAAAAGGATGTCTGCATGCAAAGATTTATCACACATTTGGTTAAACTCCTTTACTGGGTGGGTAGATCATGCCATAAGCATAACTTCTTTGCTTTTTTGGGGAGAAGGTAGAAAAACACACTCTTACCAATCCACACTCTTCCATCTTCCCAAACAGAGAATCAAATCCATACTTTACCATATCCCTCAAAATACCAATCAATTCTAAAACAGTGA